ACTGATTGTGTGAAGGGGTGTCCCTACCTTCCCTCAACTTGTGAGTGTGTCCCTGGATTGGGGATGCTGTGCCCGTGCCCTGGGTCTCTCTCTGACTCTGGCTGTCTGCTGTGCCCCAGAGGGTCCTGCGTTCCTGTCCCTGTCAGGGTCTCCTGACCATCCCATGTTGCTCTCTGTGTCTGAAGTTCACGGCCCTCCTGGGTCGCTGGGGCTCTAGGTGACTGTATCTGTCCCCAAGTCCAGCCCTTGCAGAGCTGGGAGGGCAGGGACTCTGTGTCCTTGAAGTTAAGAAGGCCCGCTGGGAAGTTAGCAGCTGGAGATAAGATTTCATAATCACGAGAGGAAAGGAGGGAGAAGGATCCAGGTTTGATTTGGGGTCAGGTCAGGCCAGGGTACAGGGTCTCAGAATCACTGTAAGAATACTCCTAACAGCTTCTGTTAATTGTGCATTTACCATGTGCCAGGCACTGTTCTTTGTACTTATATTTGTACTTTTTTATATTATATTTATACTGTCATTTATAAATATATTTGGGGTTTCCCAGGTGGCTCAGTGGTAAAGAATCCACCTGTCAATGCAGGAGATGTGGGTTCGATCCCTGGATAGGGAAGATACCTGGAGAAGGAAATGGCAACCCACTCCACTATTCTTGCCTGGGAAATCCCATAGGCAGAGAAGCCTGGCGGGCTACAGTCCTTGGGGTCACAAAAGAGTCAGACCCAACTTATCGACTGAACAACAACATATTTATATTTATACTATTGTATTTATTCACCATCACAAATAAGTACGTATATTATATTTATAAATAATTGTGTGAATTGTTCCTAATATTTTAAATAATATTTTATTGGTTATAAATTATATAGTAATTCTATTAGCATTTTCTGTTTCTATCATCATTTTGTATTATCCTATGGAAGATAGGAGGAAATGTTCAGAGAGATGAGTTCACTTGCCCGAGGTCATTCAGTAAGGTGACAGTCAAAATCTGAACCTAGTTCTTAGTGTTTCCAGCCTTTGGCTTGTAGCTCCTACATTACCCTGTGCAAGGCAGAAGACAGTGTCTAGCAGAACAAGAGGAAGCAGGGTTGGCTGAGTGGCTGTGGAAAAACAGCATATTGTTGTCAGCGTGGTGGGGTGCTGGTGTATGTTGACCTTTGTCGTGAGCCAGGCACCATGCTAAGGGCTTTCATAATAAGAATATGGCAAGGACTTCCCTGGTGGTCGAGAGGCTAAGGACTCCGAACTTCCAAAGCAGGGAGCCCGGGTTCAGTCCCTGGTCAGGGAACTAGATCCCACAAGCCGCAGCTCAAGATTCAGTATGCTGCAACTAAGACTGTAGATCTCATGTGCCACGACTGGGACCCAGCGCAGCCAAATAAATAAATATTAAAAAAAAGAAGAATAGGCAAACACTCATATGGCACATAGCAAGGGCCCTACTTTAAGTGCTGTTATGTGGATTATTTCATTCACTCCTTACACCAGCATCCTGAGGTGGATACCGTCTGTCCTTGTCTCCATGAGACCCTGAGGCAGAGTCACTGTGAAAGCTCGTGGAGGTACTGGGATCTGGCTCCAGGCAGCCTGGCTCCATAGGCTGTTCCTTTAGCCCCCCATACTTTTCTACTATCCCTTGTAATCTTCACAGCAATCCTATAGTGTAGGAAGAAATGTCACCCATTTTACAGATGAGGAAACTGAGACCCAGACTTGGACTCACCCACAGAGCCGCAGACTTAAACGACTACCTATCTGATCAGCTCATTCACACACCTGACCCTGTTCTCATCTGGCCGGAGGCCAGGGACTCCAGAGAGCCTCTGAAGGGCCTTGGCCAGACTCCCAGATGCCAGGGGCCTCATGTCCTTGAGGTTCTAGCCTCCCTAACCTTCCTGTGCAGCCCCTTAATTTTGCCTTTGGTTTGTACCATTTTGACTTGCTGATCAGTAAACATTCATGTTACAAAAATTGTCTATTTTCCCCCAGATTATGTTTTTTTATTTGTTGCTATACAAAAGGTTTAAGTTTTATACAGTTTAACCTATCCTTTGTTTATTTAATTAAAAAAAAATCTATTTATTTGGCTGTGCTGTGTCCTAGTTGTGGCATGTGGGATCTAGTGCCCTGACCAGGGATGGAACCCAGCAGAAAGCTCGTGGAGGTACTGGGATCTGGCTCCAGGCAGCCTGGCTCCATAGGCTGTTCCTTTAGCCCCCCATACTTTTCTACTATCCCTTGTAATCTTCACAGCAATCCTATAGTGTAGGAAGAAATGTCACCCATTTTACAGATGAGGAAACTGAGACCCAGACTTGGACTCACCCACAGAGCCGCAGACTTAAACGACTACCTATCTGATCAGCTCATTCACACACCTGACCCTGTTCTCATCTGGCCGGAGGCCAGGGACTCCAGAGAGCCTCTGAAGGGCCTTGGCCAGACTCCCAGATGCCAGGGGCCTCATGTCCTTGAGGTTCTAGCCTCCCTAACCTTCCTGTGCAGCCCCTTAATTTTGCCTTTGGTTTGTACCATTTTGACTTGCTGATCAGTAAACATTCATGTTACAAAAATTGTCTTATTTTACCCCAGATTATGTTTTTTTATTTGTTGCTATACAAAAGGTTTAAGTTTTATACAGTTTAACCTATCCTTTGTTTATTTAATTAAAAAAAAATCTATTTATTTGGCTGTGCTGTGTCCTAGTTGTGGCATGTGGGATCTAGTGCCCTGACCAGGGATGGAACCCAGCACCTCTGCATTGGGAGTGTGGAACCACCAGGGAAATCTGTTGCTTATTTTATAGATGCAAGATTTCTAATCTTGGTGAAGAAAATCTAGTTCCCTGGGAGTGAGAATTCTGGGGTAGGGGGCAGTGGCAGCTTCTTCCTTCCCTCTCCCCTTCCTTGACTTGTCCTTCTTGGGATAGATGGCAGAGGGTGTTGTTTGATATCTTGTCAGTTTGTAAGCCCTCTTTATATATGTTGTTGTTGTTTTTCAGTCACCCAGTAGTATCCAACTCTTTGCAACCCCAGGGACCACAGCACACCAGGCCTCCCTGTCCCTAACTACTGACTGGAGTTTGCCGAAGTTCATGTTCTTTGCATCGGTGATGCTGTCCAACCATCTCATCCTCTGACGCCTCTTCTCCTTCTGCCTTCAATCTTTCCCAGCATCAGGGACTTTTCCAATGAGTTGTCTGTTTGCATCAGATGACCAAAATACTGGAGCTTCAGCTTCAGCATCAGTCATTCCAGTGAATATTCAGGGTTGATCTCCCTTAAGACTGACTGGTTTGAGCTCCTTGCTGTCTAAGGAAGTTTCAGGAGTCTTCTCCAGCACCACAGTTCAAAGGCATCAATTCTTTGGTGTTCTGCCTTCTTTACGGTCCAGCTCTCACAACCGTACGTGACCACTGGGAAGACCATAGCCTTGACTATATGGACATTTGTAGGCAGAGCAATGTCTCTGCTTTTCAACACACTGTCTAGGTTTGTCATTGTTTTCCTGCCAAGAAGCAATCATCTTCTGATTTCATGGCTGCAGTCACTGTCCACAGTGATTTTGGAGCCCAAGAAATGAAAATCTGTCACTACTTTCACCTTTTCCCCTTCTATTTGCCATGTAGTAATGGGGCCGGATGCCATGACCTTCTTATTTTTAATACGTAGTCTTAAGCGGACTCCTTCACTCTCCTCCTTCACCCTCAACAAGAGGCTCTTTAGTTCCTTTTCACTTTCTGCCATTAGAGTGGTATCATCTGCATATCTGAGGTTGTTGATGTTTCTCCCGCTTATCTTGATTCCAGGTGGTAACTCATCCAGCCCTGCATTTCTCTTGATGTGCTCAGCATATAGGTTAAACAAACAGGGTGACAGCAGACAGCCCTGTCATACTCCTTTCTCCATCTTGAACCAATCAGGTGTTCCATACAGGGTTCTAACTGTTGCTTCTTGACCCGCATACAGGTTTCTCAGGAGACAGGTAAGATGGTCTGGTATTCCCATCTCTCTAAGAGCTTTCCACAGTTCATCATGATCCACACAAAGGTTTTAGTGTAGTCGATGAAACAGAGATAGATGTTTCTCCGAAATTTCCTTGCTTTTCCTATAATCCAGCGAATGTTGGCAATTTGTTCTCTAGTTCGTCTTCCTTTTCTAAACCCAGCTTGGACATATGGAAGTTCTTGGTTGAATAATGCTGAAGCCTAGCATGCACGATTTTAAGAATGAACTTACTAGCATGGGAGGTGAGTGCAATTGTCCAATGGTTAGCACATTCTTTGGTACTGCCCTTCTTGAGAACTGAAATGAGGATTGACCTTTTCCAGTCCTGTGGCTGCTTCTGGATCTTCCAGAAGTGCTGGCACAATGAATGCAAAACCATCATCCTTTAGGGATTGAATAGTTCTGCTGGAATTTCATTACATCCATTAGCTTTATTAACAGCAGTGCTTCTTAAGGCCCACTTGACTTTGCACTCCAGAATGTCTGGCTCTGGGTGACTTACCACACCATTGTAGTAATCTGGTTCATTAAGATCTTTTTATACAGTTCTTCCCTGTATTCTTTCCATCTTTATATATAATAGCTACTAATTCTGTGCTGTCCCAAGTGTTGCAAATTTCCCCCCCAAGCCTTTTGTATATTACCTTGCAATGATTTTCCTCCTGCAAATATGTCTAACTAATTTCTCAACCTTGCTCTGGAAGATCTGCTCCTGGGGAGGTGGGGGCGACTCCTTTCTCATCTCCCTCCTCTCACTCCCTTCCCCTCCTGGGTCTGTCTCTCCTTATCTCCAGCTTCTCCTTTCCCAAGGATATGCCTGGGGGGAAGGGTAACGCCCAGCACGGAGGCCCAGCTCCCCTCCCGCTCTTTGGGCCTCTCCCTATTTGGAAGGGGGGTAGGTTGTCCGTTCGGTGTCAGTTTTTAAGAGCTCCTCCCCTCTATAACTATTAACCCTATGCTACCCTCTGTATTCCAGGCCACAGGTCCTGTCATTTGCTACATTCCTTCTTAAGCGGCTGAATTTTATGCAAATAAAGTCCATCCTGTATGCAGCGGTGGTGGGTTCTGATGTAGTCTGGGAAGTCTCCCAGCTCCCGGATGCCCTCGCCTTCGCCCCCCAAGCCCTTATCTCGCAGCTTTTCGCTTCCCACGGGTCGGGCGCATAAAAGGGAGCGGGAGCTCGGGCCCCGCAGCGTCACCATGTTCCCGCTGTGCCCACTGCTGCTGACCCTGGCCCTGGCGGCCGTCCCCGGCGTCCGAGGCTCCTGCCCGGCGTCCGCCGACCTGAACGCCAACGGGACGCGCACTTGCGCCAAGCTCTACGACAAGAGCGACCCCTACTACGAGAACTGCTGCGCCGGCGCCGTGCTCTCCTTGGAGTCGGGCGCCGACCTGCCCTACCTGCCCTCGGACTGGACGAACGTCATCTCCTCGATCGTGGTGGGCCAGCGCTGCGAGCTCACCGTGTGGTCCCGTCGCGGCAAGGAGGGCAAGTCGCGCAAGTTCTCCGCCGGTAGCTACCCGCGCCTGGAGGAGTACCGCCGCGGCCTCTTCGGGGACTGGTCCAACGCCATCTCCTCGGTCTACTGCAGGTACCCGCCCGCCGGCCCCATCACCCAGACCCCTGAGCCTCTGACCCAAACTGAGCGCCTTAGAAGCAGTTTCCGAGGTCCCCCGTCTCCCCCACGCCCCCTCTCCCAAGCCCATGACCCTTGGATCTCCCAGATCCAACTCTGAGATTCCCAGACTTCATTCTGGGAGCTTCCCCTCCCATCTCCCTGAATCCTACCCACCAGAAGGCTGCGCTCTCAGGGGAGGGTAGTCCTCAGGCCTAGCCTGGTGATGGGAAGCCATCAACCCCCTCACTTCGAAGCCCCTAGAACCGAAGCTAGTCCTTCCCCACCCCTCTAGATCATCAGATCCCAGGGCTCTCAGACCCAGCTCTGGGGCTCCCAGATTCTAAACCTGACTGACCCAGACCTTAAGACCCCAGACTTATTTCCAGGAGTGCCCTATCTAGCCCTCACGCTCCACTCTCCTAGATCCTCTACATCAGCCTTGGCCCCAGAAACTGGTTCCAGTAGCCCCCATTAAGGTTCTGAAGCCTCCAGGCCCAACTTTGGAGGCCCCTGAGCCCACCCTGGACTCACATATTCAAACTCACAGACCCCGAGGCCCTAAATCTAGCCAGGGCACCCTTTAAAACCACCCACCTGCCCCTCTACCCCCAAGAACTCCAAGAACCCCCAGCCCCAAACTCTCAGGTCAGGACGCCTGCCCCTGAACTTGGAGCCCAGCCCCAGCCCCCAACCCCATCTCAGGCTTCTAGAATCCCTCCTACCATAAATCTCTGAAGCCCTGGCACCCCCTGGCAATAATTTTCGATTCTGTTGCAGTTGCAAATGACACCTTACGAGATCACTCATCTCCGCCCTCACGAAGTGCTAAGCCCCTCACCTGGCCTTGTTTGTGGGGTCTGCTGCAGTCTGTAAGACCCAGGAGAACAGAGGTTTCTGCCTGCCCTCATCTTGCCTTCCCTGTAATACAGCTCTTATGAAGCCATCCCTGTCTGCCATCTACTTGTGTCTGGGCCCCAAGTCCACGCAGATGCGGGGTCAGGAATGGAGGAGGGAGCAGGGTGGTCAGGGCTGGGTCAGCCCACACCTGGAACAGTACCTGCTGTGGATGGGGACATATGTGTAGATCCTGTGGGGGCACACGCACGGATTTAGGTGTGCACACATGTGCACATACCCATAGGGCATCTGCGTGACAAGCAAAGGTCCTGCTGGCTGATTTTTTAAAATATTGATTTGTTTGTCTGTACCAGGTCATGGGCTTTCCAGGTGGTGCAGTAGTAAAGAATCTGCCTGCCAATGCAGGAGACACAAGAGACTGGTTCAATCCCTGTGTTGGGAAGATCCTCTGGAGTAGGAAATGGCAACCCATCCCAGTATTCTTGCCTGGAAAATTCCATGGACAGAGGAACCTGGAGGGCCGCAAAGAGTCGGACATGACTGAGCATGCACGCTGGGTCTTAGTTGTGGCACATGGGATCTAGTTCCCTGAACAAGGATGGAACCTGGGCCTCCTGGCTTGGGAGCTCAGAATCTTAGCCACAGGACCACCAGAGAAGTCACACTGCTGGCTGATTGTTAAACACTGAAATGCTTTCCACACTTTTTGGTGGATAGCCACTTTCTGAATCCCCTCCTCCCCACACCAGGTGTTCAGGCCTGCCAGGGACTTCAAGACTCTCTCAGGATTCATATGTAGGATGGTAAGAGGCCTTCAAGGACTCTGCCCCATGTAGGTCCAGGGTCTGTTATGTGATCTGCCCACAGCCCAGGACTCATGGGTTGTGAAATACTTTTAACGCCCCAGGTTCCAACACATGGAGAACACTTTCATTCTAATCTGCATATTTCTGAAAATTCAAATTTGCAATTTACGACTCCTAAGGATAAGGACCCTTGATGAGTACCTGGGTTTGGGGGATCTGGAGGAATAAGAGAAGAGCAATGAGGGGTCTTGGGAGGCAGAGAAGTAGAGGGATAGCTCTGGGGGATGATAACACGGGATTGGGGGGAGAAAGGAAATCTGGGGACATTGTGAGAGTTAGGAGACATGGGAGAAGAGTAAGTAGAGATGCTGCTGCTGCTGCTGCTAAGTCACTTCAGTCGTGTCCGACTCTGTGGGACCCCACAGATGGCAGCCCACCAGGCTCCGCCATCCCTGGGATTCTCCAGGCAAGAACACTGGAGTGGGCTGCCATTTCCTTCTCCAGTAGAGATGCTACAAGGCCATAAATTTGGAACATAAAAGATCAGAGGTTAAGGGAGGCGCTGGAGATCAAGGATTAGAGGACATGCAAGTGGGACATGAACTCGGTGAAGTTCTAAGGAGCAAACACCAGGGAGACAGCATTCCTTGGGCACATGTATTTATTCATTCAGTCAACAAAGGTTTATTGAGCCCCTATTATCTTGTCAAGCACTGACTCAGGAAGAAGTGGCCACTGCCCTCATGAAGAGAGTGCAGCAAAGATGCCAGCAAGACAGACATTCAAAGATGTGTGAAGATGCAGCTGAGAAGCCAAGGGCCAGGCAGGATTACAGGGCATAGGAGGTAGTATGTGATCCCGGAGCAGCCAAGGGGACAGGAGGGTATAAAGGGAGAAGGGGGATGCTCAGGGAACATGGTGGAGCCTAAGGGTCAGGAGGTACTAAGGGTTAGGGACTTCTAAGGCTTAGGGAGCTGCTAGGCGATCAGAGAGATGCTAAGATATCAGAAGTGATAAGGGAATAAGAAGTCGCTGAGGGGTTGGTATCTTGTATCATCATATAAGAGGTCAGGAGGGGCCCAGGGTCAGCCAATCACTCCCGGAATTGCACAGACACAGAAGAGTCGGTCACCCTAGTCCGCCGCAGCCCACCACGCTCCATCCGGTTCTTGGTCTTGTGCAGGAAGTGGACAAAGCGGACGCCGGGGCCGTACTGGCGGAATACGTGGGACACCTGGGGCGGCACCAGGGTTAGGAAGAAGTTCTTATTAGGGACCCATAAACCCTGCTCTCCTCCCTCCTCCCTCTGTGAGGTCTTGGGACACGAAAGCATATATGGGGGTGGTGGCCAGGGTAGGGCGTCTCACCTGGATCCAGTGGCCGGGAGGGCCTCTCCCGGAGGTGCGGGGGGCCACGTGGTGCTGGGCGATGACTGTGCTGCGGTCAGCGGCCAGCAGCCAGACGTGCAGCTCATACACACACGCGTCCAGTCGGCTGTCCTCGAACCTGGGGTCGGGGGCAGGCCTTCAGCTGCCACCACAGCCCCCACTCCTGGTACGATTGCCGTTCCACACACACACCCACTGGCACTCACTATGTGCACCGGGGCTGGGTGCTGCTTGTGACACGGCAGTGACCAAGACAACTTCTCTCCCTGCTCTCATGGAATTCATAATGGTCCAGTGGGGGAGGTGGACATGTCAATAAGAAGCGCCACCCAGGCATGGTCAGGGCTGGGATAGGGCACATTCGGGTACTGGAGCATAATGCATCTGACCCAGCTTGGGAGTGGTCAGGGAAGGCGCCCCGTGGCCCGAGTTCACTCCCTGGTTGAGGAACTGAGATCCCTCAAGCTGTGAGACGCAGCCAAATAGAGGGGGGAGTCCACCTCAAGAAAAGAGGGTGACCAACATCCAAGGAAGAAAGAAGAGGCTCTGGGCTGGAGCATTTCAAGAACAGAACGATTCAGAGCAAAGGGGCCGGGGAGATGGAAAGGGCTGTGTCCCGCAGTGGCAGGAGTCTCTCGGGGAGCACGGGGCGAGGCATGCGCTTTGGGGAGCCTGGCTGGGCGGGTGGGTGGGGTGGAGGCACGCACCAGTCCATGACCGTGATACGCGGCTGCTCATCGTCCAGGAGCTCCTCCCACAAGCCCTCGGCCAGAAGGTCCACGCACTGCTGCTTCACCGTCCAGCTGGGAGAGAGAGCACAGGGGAGGGCTGCCATCTGGTCAGCCGGGCCCCCAGAAGCGGGGCACCCTGATCGCCGCACCCTCCTAAAGACGTCAAGGGCGCTGGCTTTTGGGGGCTGAGCACCCACTCAGCACCTCACAGCCTCGGTTCCTGTGAGCTTCTCTGAGGGCGATGCATCCTGAACCCGGTGTTGCAGATGGGGAAACCGCGGTGCAGACGGGGAAGGGACTTATCAAGATCGAGCAGCAAAGACTTGGCGGAGCTGAACCCAAGTGCCTGTGACTCGGAGCCCCTGAGTTGCGGCACCCCACCCACTATGCAGAAAGGGGACCCGGTTTAAAGGCAGACAGCTGGTGGCCTAGGTGACTCTCCCGTTCCCACAGAAAGAGGCTGAGTATAGGAACAGTGTTAACTGCTAGGCTTCCCTGGTGGCCCAGGCAGTAAAGAATCCCCCCGCGATGCCGGAGACTCGGGTTGGATTCCTGGGTCAGGAAGATCCCCTGGAGGAAGGGAATGGCAACCCACTCCAGTATCACTGCCTGGAGAATTCCATGAACAGAGGAGCCTGGTGGGCTCCATCCATGGGGTCGCAAAGAGTTGGACGCAAACTGAGTGACTAAGCACAAAATGGAACACCTACTATGTGCAAGATAGCCAGACCCTATGCCGTGTGTTTTATGGGCATGCTTTTATGATCCATCCCGTTTACAGAGCAGGAGACAAGGGCCCAGAGAGGTAAAGACAGCTTTTCCAGGTCCCACAGCGAGGGAGGCCAGAAGAGGGAATCAAATGCAGGCCACGTGTGTCCCGGCCACTCACCTGAGGTTCTGCTGGAGTTTCTCAGTCCTGATGTGCCAGCCGCGGAAATTGCCTGGCGGATGGAGGAGTAAAGGATTAGAATGTGCCCCTGCTCCAGGGCCACCCCCTCCACAGCATGGGGCTAGCCTCCGGGCACTTACCCAGAGCCTCCAGGGGTTGCTGGGTGGGACCGGTAGGGGGAGCTGGCTCATAAATGTTGATGCCTGAAAGGCGCAAGGAAGCGGAGCCTCAGGCGGGTTGAAGCTGCCCTCCTTCCTGCAGGCTCCCCGCTCCCTGCCCGCTGGACTCGGCTGGAAGGACGGGAATCAGTGCCCCGCCTGCCAGACCAGCCCAGCCAGGCAGCGGGGAGTGAGTCAGGGCCCTGGGAGAGCCCTGAGAATGTTCTGGGGTCAGAGGGCCAGTGCTCGGAGGGGGAGGGCGTTGTGTCGAGAGGGGAAGAACAGAGGGAAAAAGAGAGAGAGGAACCGAGGAAAAGAGAGAGAATGTGGGAGGAGGGAGATAGCTCCGGGAGATAATGAAGGACAGGGAGGCCTGGCGTGCTGCAGTCCATGGGGTCGCAAAGAGTCGGAATGACTGAGCGACTGAACATGGGAGGAGGGAGGGAGAGATACAGGGTGAGACAGACCCCGTGAGACATAGAGACACAAGATGCAGAGACAGAGATGCAAGTGAGACAAAGAGACACGCTGAGAGAAAAGGGGACAGAGAAGGAAGTGCTAGAATGCATGGCTGCTCCATCGCTCAGGCGTGTCATTTTCTTTGCGACCCCATGGACTGGAGCCCGCTAGGCTCCTCTGTCCATGGGATTCTCCAGGCAAGAATCCTGGAGCGGGTTGCCATGCCCTCCTACGGGGGATCTCCCCGACCCAGGGATCGAACCCGCGTCTCCTGCATCTCCTACAGTGCAGGTGGATTCTTTACCGCTGTGCCGCCGGAGAAGCCCCAGAGAAGGACGCAGAGGAATAAAAACACAGAGGGAGCCATCAAGAGACAGAGACGGGAAAACAGCAAGAGAGACAAGGAGACAGACAAAGAGAAGACGTGACCGACGGTCTAGCTGAGCGAGCCCTGGGGAAGGAGACGGAGGCGTGGCGGCCTGCCGGCTGTGCAGCCTCGAGCGGACCAGGGCCCGAACCTTCGGGGTTGGGCGAGCGCAGCAGGTTGCGGTAGAGCGGCCGCCGCAGGAACAGCAGCTTCCAGGTGAGGCGCGGGGGCAGCTCCAGGCTCCCTCCCGGCGGCGCCCACTCTTGCAGCAGCAGCTGCCGCGCGTGGGCCTCGGTTGGCGACTCGGGCGCGGGGAGCCCGGGGGTCTCGGGGGCCGCGGGCGAAGGCGGCGACGGAGGCGGGGGAGGCGACGCCGGCTCCTGGGGGCTCACGGGTTCGTCCATCCCGCCGCCGAGCTCCGGTCCTTCCCGCACCTCCTCCATCGCTCGGGTCTGGGTGACTGTCCCGGCTCCTCCGCAGGGTTCGGGGTGAACCCGGGGCGGGAGAGGGCGGAGCGCCTCGGCTGGCCTTTAAGTAGAGGGGTGTGTTGGGGGAAGGATCCAGGTCCCCAGGCCCTCCTCCCTCGGGCTCGGGAGCCCGGGTCCCAGCACCTCCTTCTGCCAGGCTGCAGAAGTCCGGGTCCCAGCTCTGCTACGTTTCCCAAGCCTCTTGCTCCAGTTTCCCCAGACATCAGCCCTGGAGAGGGGTGTGACCAAGGCGCTAATGCCAGGGCTCGGCTCGCTAATGAGGCCCATCCACCTCATTAACATCCCGCGTGGCTGGAGGAGAGCTTAATTAATGAAGCCCCCCTCTCCCCGCCCGCAACCTCCCAGTCAGCTGGGCATGCCGTAAGGGGTGGGGGTGGGAGGGGAGTCCCGCCTCTGCTTGTTCCTCCTCTGCCCTCATTTGGGACACAAACTTGGGACCTGATATTTCTTTCCCAGAAGCATAGTGGGGATGGGGCAGACAGAGAGAGACCCAGAGAGACCCTGAGCTAGAGATGGAGAGTCACAGAGATTGGGGACCCGAGGGAGACACTGAGATAGTGTCAGGAAGGGAGGTAGTAACGCCTCCTGGGTATTGGGGTGCCTTGCATCTCTTCCTGGGGTTGGGGCAGGTGGTGCAGGCTGGCCAAACCTCCTCCCTGGGAGGTCATAGGGAGTTTGGAGTCAGGGCTGGAGCAATGGCGGGGGCAGGAGGTCAGGGTGCGGAGGAAGTGGGGTGGCGAAGGAACCTGTAGGGCCAGATGCCCAGGGCCACATCCTGCCCTTGCCACATCCCACAGCCCGCCCAGGTAAGCACAGGCTCAATCCCACATAAGTTACCAGTAACAAGCACCACAGTGAGTGCATTCTGCTTGCTAGATGTGTCCTAAGCTTTTACAAGTTCATTTCATCCTCTAACAACGTAGGTGCTACTATTATGGGCATTTTATACGTAAAGAAAAGATAAAAGTGAATGAATATGGAGTTGCGTGCCAGCCGCATGCACCCCAGCATCCAGCTTGCACACCAAGAGTAGGGAGCTGTTGTTATCCCCATTTCACAGATGAAAAAACAGAGGACTCCCTCACAGGCCTGGTCCCATACCACCCCAGATAACCCCATATGCTTCCCGCCCCAGATTCCCGCAAGATGCTGACAGACACGTTCTGCAGACGTACAGAGTGGAGCTCACACCCAAATGATGATGCTCATGTAATTAACGCCTGTGTGCCAGGCATTGTTCTAAATTCTTTAGGTGGAGTAATTAATTCAATCTCTGTATCTTCCATAGGAAATAGGTACTATTGTCATACCCGTTTTGCAGACTCTTACTTTTGTAGAAGTCTCCGTAACTGAGAGTAGAAGTCTCAGTTACTGAGACTCAGAGAGGTCTAGTAACTCACCCAAGGTTGCACAGCTGCTACGTGGCAAATTGGACACGGAGTCTCATGTGATACATAGAGAAACAGGTTCAAATTGCCTCCAGAGACAGTGGCTCACACAGAAACAGATGCGAGAACATAGTTACATTTTTTGAGTGTCTGCCTTTAGCTCATTAAGTCTTACAACAACCCTGGGAGGTGGGGACGGGTAATAGTTCCTCCATGGACTGACTGGGGAACTGAGCGGCAAGAGAGGTGACGTGACTAATCCTGGAAAAGCTGGGAATTAGCCAGGGCCCTGGGGGGAGGAAGGACCCATAGAAGGGGACAAGCTGACTTATGTGCAGTATCCCTGCTCACCCAGAAGTCCTCAAGAGGTTTCCAAATGCTTGCAGAGCCCATGATACACGCATAACTGGAGACACTCGCACCACCACTGCAAGCGCACAGACCCACACCCAGGCCTGGCTACCTGCCTGCCTGCCTGCCTTCATTGGAGGAGGAGGAAAGGACAGAGTCAGGAGAAGGAGTGTCTGTCTAGTGGAGTCAGAGCTGTCCCCAGGTCAGAATCCGGGGCAGGGATTGGCTCAGAGCCAGAGACCAAAAAAAAAAAAAGGCAGGAAATCGGTAGAATGAGGATCAACACCCCTCCTCAGTCTGCCCCCCTCCTGCCTTGGTGTCCACATTATCTCACTCCGGGGGTCCTCAGCCCCTTCTTATACACACACACACACACACACATGCCACAGTCAAAGGGGTCTTATGAAAGGTTAAACACAAGTAATCACTCCCCGACTTAAACCTGCCGTGGCTCCCCAGTGCCCTCAGGAGAAAAATCCTAGCTCTCTGCCAGCATTCGAGGCCCTGGGTTTCTGGTCCCTGTTCTCTCCCATCTCAGGGATTTTGCTCCGAAGGTTCTTTCTACCCAGAATGCCCTTCTGTCTCACCCATATCCTCATATCAAGTGATCCCCAAACTTTAGGGCTCACTAGATTCACCCAGGAAACTTATTTTAAACATGTATTTTCAGGCTTCCCTGGTAGTCCAGTAGTTAAGATTCTGCACTTTCAATGCAGGGGGCATGGGTTCGATCCCTGGTCAGGGAACTAAGATCCCACATGCCTCATGGCATGGCCAAAAGAAAAAAAAATGTATTTTCAAACCTTACTCCCAGAAGTCTAATTCAGTCCCTGTGGACCCAGAATCTGAAATTTTAGAAATACCCACCCTACCACCCCACACTATGAGAAATATTTTTACTTAAATCTGAGTGATCCGGGAGCCATACAGAGCCAAGTGTCTTTCAACATTAGATCTCCAATGTCTCCTTTCTTCATCTTCTGATCAGCAAAGGTCCCAGTGGGGGGACTCAAGCTCTGAAACAGTGATCTAGAAGCAAAGAAAGCAGGTTGGTGGTTGTCTGGGCTGTAGGGCAGAGGGGTGGCCTTTCTGGGGTGAGAAAAAAGCTTTATCTTAATTGTGGTGGTAGTTATACGGGAGTATACATATTGCCAAAATTCATCAAACTGTGTATTTAGAATGAGTGAGTATGGGGGGCGACTTCCCTGGTGGTCCAATGGTTAGGAATCCGCCTGCCAATGCAGGGGACATGGGTTCCATCCCTGGTCTGAGAAGATCCCACATGTCTGGGAGCAACTAAGCCTAAGCACCACAAATACTAAGTCCGTGCTCTAGAGATCCTGCTCCGCAACAAGAGAAGCCACTGCAATGAATAGCCTGAGCACCGCAACAAAGGGTTGGCCCTGCTTGCCACTGCAATGGAAAGCTTGAGCACCGCAACAAAGACCCAATGCAACTGAAAGAAAAAAAGGGTTTAGGGACTCTCCTGGTGGTCCAGTGGTTAAAACTTCATGCTGCAATGCAGGGGGCAAAGGTTCGATCCCTGGTTGGGGAACTAAGATCCTGTGTTCAGCCAAAAACAATAAAATTTTAAAAAATTAATGGGTGTATTTTCTTGTATGTAAATTATATCCCAGTAAGAAAAAAAGCCAAAAGGATATGGCAGTCCTGACGTACAGACAAGGAAATAGCAACAAACATCCCCCTCCTCTCGCTTGGTTGCTCAGTCACGTCTGACTGTTTGCAATCCCGTGGACTGTATCCTGCCAGGCTCCTCTGTCAATGGGATCTCCCAGGCAAGAAAACTGGAGTAGGTTGCCATTTCCGTCTCCAGGGGATCTGCCTGACCCAGTGATTGAACCCATGTCTCTTGCGTCTCCTGCCTTGGCAGGCAGATTCTTTACCACTAGCCACAAGTCTGTCGGGTGAAAAAGGCAAGATGTAGAATAGTGGGCCTCATAGGCTTCTAACTTTTATTCTCTCAATAAGTACTTATTAAACATCCACAGTGGCCAAGCCCTCTGTGTTGGTGATATAATGGTAGAAGAACAGCTTCCTATCCCTTTGTGGCTTCCTTGTGGGAGGAGGGATGGACTTCAACAATTTAGGAATTTTTTCTTTCTTTCTTTTTTTTTATTGACCAAGTCATTGGGCTTGTGGGTTCTTAGTTTCCTGACCACGGATTGAACCTGCGCTCTCGGCAATGTCAGCACGGGGTCCTAACCACTGAACCACCAGAGAATTCCCTCAATAAGTAACTAATTAACAAGCAGCACTAAGTGCTTTGATGGTGAAAAAGGTTGTAATGACAAGGAAAAGGAGGGGGTTGGGAGCCCGTTTTAGCTGAGGTGGTCAGGGAAGGCTTCTTAGAGGAGGTGACATTTAAGCAAAGACCTGAAAAGGAGGCAACAGCAAGTGTAAAGGCCCCAAGGTAGGACCAGGAGTGGTGGGTTTGGGGAACGAGAGGGAGCCACAACAAGAGGGAGGAACAACATTGGAGCCACAGTGTGGCTGCGATGGAGGGGGCGCAGGGGAGATGAGATCAGATAGAGCATTGGGGGGCGGCAGCTCTGTAGGATTTATCGAAGTGTAATAAATTCACAGTGAAACTGTGGGGAAAGTTTCAGCTGGGAAGGGATGAACTGATTTCTAGCTGAGTGAGGGCAGAGGGTGCAGGGAAACAATAAAGAAGGAGCTGGGGGTGGACAGGACCAGAGTGGCACCATGGAGTGACTGACGGGTCGAGGACAGATTGAATATCTTTGTTGATTTGACAGAGAGGAAAGCCTTGATTGGCCTTGAGGGTTGAGCAGCGGGCAGAAGGTGGTACCATTTGCAGAGAGGGGAAGATGAGGTCAGAGCAGGATTGACGGTGAGGAGGAAGCAGGAAGCAGTATTCTATCTCAGATGTCAGTTATTGTTGCTTAGTCACTAAGTCGTGTCCAACTCTATTATGACCCTGTGGCCTGTAGCCCACCAGGCTTCTCTGTCTTTGGGATTTCCCAGGCAAGAATACTAGAGTGGGTTGCTACACGAACCCATGTCTCCTGCATTGGTAGGAGGATTCTTTACCACTGAGCCACTGGGAAGCCCCAGATGTCAGTACTGGACATCTAAAGGGGCAATATTGGGGGTAGGGGCAGCTGGATGTACAAGGCAGAGCTCAAACACAGGTATCAGGGCTGAGACACAAATCAGAGGCATCACCATGTCAAC